AAGTAGTATACTATATTCTGTGAGGCTTACTCTATATAATCTTCACTTGAACTCCTTCTGAGGACTGATATGAAAGTTTTAAAAAATCGTGAAACTTGACCATCTCAAAAAGCATGGGTCGCAGATTTTGGTTATTTTCTGAAAGCTCATCGATTGCTTTGCAACAATTTCAAAACCGCGAGAAAGAGAATGAAATTCTGCTTCGAATGCCTCCAAGATCTCATAGAAAGCTTTGTTCCGTCAAATGTGGTGCCCGTTTGAAAAAAGCAAAATTACTTTTGAAACGACCTAATATATTTGTACTATTTGCTTGCGGCTACAAAATAGGCTGCTTATAAATTACCAGTGCATCACCTCTGCTTCGCAGAGGCTCGCACTGGCCCTATTTTCTGTATGCTTTACTCATTCCCGCATAATAATGACATTGAAACTCACCGCACTATGTAGGCTATCACGAATAATTCGTAAACAACTACTCATTCGTAGAGGTCTTCCATGTGAGATCGGTAATTTCGCGTGGATAATCTTTCCCAGAAGAACAGATGCAAATTTATAGGCTTTTGGAATTTTTATGGCTTGGTAGTCGCCGTAAGGACAATAGACATAGTGGGCTACACCTCTGTGCAAAAATCTTCTCAAATAATCAGGTAAAATCTTGAAAAATTGACCGTTTACACAGCGAATGCTTTTCGGCGCTGTTTTCGTAAAATAGTAGACTTTTCATTACTTTTTCAAGCTAAAGTCCATGGTTTGCACATTAGCTTGTCAAATATAAACTTAACTCTGCAAAAAGTAGTACTACGGACCCAAATTTGCTGGCCAGAAGCTAAGTGGATCCGTTTGACGCGCAATTTTCAATGGATCCACTCAACGGATCCGCTCATGCTTTTGTATAGTGAGCTTTCATGCTGGTAGCGTGCGCTAGGCAAAATTTGGGCTCAGGACGTTGGCTGAAACACGCTCTACGAATTTCGTGACAGACAGAGATTCACACACACACACACACACACACACACACACACACACACACACACACACACACACACACACACACACACACACACACACACACACACACACACACACACACACACACACACACACACACACACACACACACACACACACACACACACACACACACACACACACACACACACACACACACACACACACACACACACACACACACACACACACACACACACACACACACACACACACACACACACACACACACACACACACACACACACACACACACACACACACACACACACACACACACACACACACACACACACACACACACACACACACACACACACACACACACACACACACACACACACACACACACACACACACACACACACACACACACACACACACACACACACACACACACACACACACACACACACACACACACACACACACACACACACACACACACACACACACACACACACACACACACACACACACACACACACACACACACACACACACACACACACACACACACACACACACACACACACACACACACACACACACACACACACACACACACACACACACACACACACACGTAAACAATCATTAGCCCGTTATTATAAGTTATGATAATAACAAAGTGTGAAAGGAGTTATATTTTGTCAAAACAAGACTTCAGAAAAAAAACTTTTTTTGTTTTTCAATCCATACTTTTCTGCGAGAGATAAGATATGAGTGTAGCTCAATGTACGCTGTACTGCGAAAGGTTCGCTGCATCTGATGGTCTTTATTTCATTTCAAAACATAGATTTTATAGAAAGTTGTAGCAAGTTGAAGTGAAAAATGGGAAAACGCTCGTTATTTTTGCATCGACCTAATATGTATATTCAAAATAAACGTGTTTAGTAAATGGTGTATTTTGAAGTGAAAGCCAGCGAGACTTCACAGATTTCATCAGGTAAATTTTTTTATAACGTACTGCGAAGGAAGTAGGTCGATCCAGGCAGTAACCGCCGAGAACCAGAATTTTGAATAATAAAATAACGATAAATTATGCGAAATTTCCACGTTTATAAATCCTGCGGTTAAAGATGTCAGCAATTGCGACTTTATAGTTTTTAAAGGGCAAGTGTTGCTCTACGAGATAGTGAAAAAATTAGGTCGATCTGAGCAGTGGCCGCCGAGAACGAGAATTTTAAAAATTAAGCGATTTTAGTTTACTTAGTGACAGCTGACGTTCGGACTCCTATAAATCTGGAATGTGAAGGTGTGCAATGTTGAGGCTTTACAGCTTTTGTAGAGTAAGAATTGCTCTATCGGATTATGTTTTAGCCGTACCGATCCATCAAAATACTGCCGAGATTCAAGTTTTCAAAAAAACAGGTGAAAATCGCTTTTTGAACTTAAACAGCTCATAACTTCTTAAGAATTGCATGGATTATGTTGCGACTTCATAGATTAGATTCTTCTCATCAAGAGCTTTCAGATGATGTGTGATATGTGGGGGGTTCAATGATTTTTGCGGCTCTAACCCAGGGTGGAGGTTTTTACCCCAAAGTCTCCACCTCACCCATGTTAACGTATTGGCCGGAGACCGCCAGTGGAGACTTTGGGGTAAAAAGTCTCCAGCCCTAGGCATGTGCCGTGAAAGGCGCGAAACCCCCACATATTATATATCGTCTGAAAGCTCTTGATGAGAAGAATCCTATGAAGTCGCAACATAATTCATGCAACTCTTAAGAAGTTATGAGCTGTTGAAGTTCAAAAAGCGGTTTTTCACCTGTTTTTTTAAAAGCCTGAATCTCGGCGGTTTCTTGATGGATCGGTACGGCTAAAACATAATCCGATAGAGCAATTCTTACTCTACAAAACCTGTAAAGCCTCAACATTGCACACCTTCACATTCCAGATTTATAGGAGTCTGAACGTCAGCTGTCACTAAGCAACCTAAAATCGCTTAATTTTTCAAAATTCTCGTTCCCGGCGGCCACTGCTCAGATCGACCTAATTCTTTCCTGATCTCTAGAGAAACACTTGCCCTTCAAAAACTATGAAGTCGCAATTGGTGATATCTTCAACCACCAGATTTATAACAGTAACAGTGGAAATTTCGCATGATTTCTTCGCTATTTTACCATTCGAAATTCTGGTTCCCGGCGATTACTGCCTAGATCGACTTACTACATAGATATATGCTCTCAATACTTTCTTTTGCGTTCCTTTTGCTTATTTTTCTTTTTTTAAGCTTCAACAAAAAAATTTTCTCAAACCCAAAAGTGAAAGTGGTCACCACATAGCAGCTTAAAAGTGAAGGTAGGCGGAGACTCGGCTCCGACTATCGCACCTCTGCTTATGGCTAAAAGCCAACAGCTCTTCCAGCTGCATTTTCGGCGTTTCTATCAGTGATGCATGACTTTTATTCGACTCGTAAACAAGGCCAAACCCGTCAAACGAAGGGGTCCGTAACTTCTTTCGCAGGACATTTCGCAGATCTGGAAAGCGGATCTAATATCTGTGTCCGGAAGGGACCATATTAGGTTTATCACGAATATGGCTGAAACTTGGCTAAGGCCCGTATGCACGTACATCCCCGCGGGGAGGGGAGGGGATCTGAAAGGGGAAGCGTCATATCTCGCTAGTCTATATATCTTTCTTCTTCTTTCTCTGTCTTGCTTTTGAAGGTTTTCATACACTGATACTGGCGCATAACGGATGTCAGGTTACTGCCATATAATACTAGATATTCACTATCTCGTCTGATCCCCTAAGGGATTCCCAGGGGATCACTTCATATTTTCAAAGTCATTTATCTTCCTGAAAACTCAATGAAAATGTTCTAAAATTATACTGAGGATATACTACAGCACTGCTAAACATCTTCATGGTAGAAATGAGTGAAACAAGATATCAAAATCTTTGATGAACCGCTGCTCGCAAGCCAGGGATTATCGAAAAAATCAAAATTCAGATTCCATTTCTTCTGTCGAAAACATGCTCAGCAGTATCCTAGTATATCTTCAGTACAATTTTGCAGCGTTTTCATTGCCTTTTCAGGAAGATAAATGACCTTGAAAATGTGAGGTGATCCCCTGGGGATCCCCAGGGGATCAGACGAGATAGTGAATATCTAATCTTGTATGGCAGTAACCTGACATCCGTTATGCGCAGGTATCAGTGTATGAGAAACTTCATAAGCAAGATAGAGAAAAAAGGAGAAAGATATGTAGACTAGCGAGATATGACGCTTCCCCTCTCAGATCCCCTCCCCTTTCCGCGGGGATGTACGTGCATACGGGCCTAAAAAGATTATCTCACATATCCTTCACGAAAACGATATTGAATTTGCATCGTAGCGGAGTTTTCGTGGAATTACGGTAAGTGTACGGTATGAGGTCGCACGCTAAACAAGAAAAAAGGGGTTATTTCGACAACTGAGTATAATATTCGTGTTGGGCAGGTCAAATAACCCCACCATGCAAAGATTCAGGAAATTATGGGATACCGAGATTTTAGTCATTGACGCTTGTCCCCAAGCACTCTTGCCTACAAGCGACTCGCTCAATTTTGTGAGGGCAGCAGATCTTGACTTGCCTTCAAGTTCCATTTCTTTTTACTTAGGTTAAGTAAGCCAACCTCTAGCAACAATTTATATGCAATTTCGGATCGTTGTCCACGACTAGGCTGAAACGGCTTCATATTTGCTTATAACAAGCAATCCTTAGATTCTCTTTATTTTTCCATTATAAAAACGGTTATACCTTTTGTAGCCCACACGACGGCCATTATCAAAAGTGGGCGTGCCTAAATCAAAAACGTCCGCAACGCTAGAGTGCCTTGCGGACCTCCGACCGACGAGGCCAGTTTTGATGCACAAGCCATATGTGCGCAAATGTGGTTCGAAGCTCCTGCTTGGCGATTAAGCGACGAGAAGGGAGTACATACGCGGGGACAGTATAGTTATCATTCTTGTTATTAAAAAAAAGCGTAAAACGTGGACATACCGTTTCTGTTCCTCAGTCATTTTTTCCGGATCGATATTGATTCTGTGCTGTAAATGTAGCGCCAGATGCCTTAACATTGTGCTTGAACACTGATATAGCATGTCACAACTGTTTCTTACTCTGTATCCTGCACTTCAGATTTTTCGGCAAATTTTCTACGCTTGTGAGCATGCTTGTGGTTCGCCCGAGTGGTTCCCTTGGTGTTGTCTTGAGCGTTAGCGGCATTGTGAACCACTTCTTTTTGAAAATGTTTTGGATTAGATAAAATCAAGAAGGCGAAACCCACCAGCAAGCAGCAGCAATGCTATGAGCAAGCTGTGGTAGAGCAACATGTAGAATTAGTGACTAATTCAACTTTCAGTGCCATGTCGACTGTGGCATTTCAGCACAATATGTCCAGAATCAACAGACAATAATGAAGCCTATTTTCAAATCCCAATTAGAGGTCTGACAGCGTGGAAGTGAGTGTTATCATCATCACATACTGCTATTATATTTCAACCCTATAGGTAAACGACTGTTCACTATCTGTCCCCAAGCTTTGACAGTATATGGCTCCGAGTAGATTTTGGGAGGTGGTCAACAAGAAGGTGAAGACGAATTCATAAGTTTACGGATACCTCCAAACAGACAGAATATAGCGTCAATAGGTGGTAGTCCTAGGATTTCCGACCGAGAGAGGGGGGGGGGGGGCGACAAAAAAATCTTGGGGTGGAAAAATTCGACACTCCAAAACACTTTTTGCGGGTCCATGATCTCAAAATCTTGTTAGGGAGCGTGGCGGCATCCACCCAACTCAAATTTTCGAATTTCAAAACCATTTTGATTATTTACAAGTATAAACAAGTCACATGCACATCTTTACAACACATGTATGTAGTTTTTTTTGATTCGCGTTCCATTCCCGTAAGGGACGCCCCCCCCCCCCGCCCCTCAGCTCAGACAATCGCTGGGGGCAGGCGGGCACCGGAAAAATAGATTGCTGATTTCTCGCACCCCGCTCGCGGATTTTTTGGAAAGCAATCAGGACTTTTCGGAAGACCGCTCGCTGAGTCAGCGGATTTTTGAGAGACCGCCTGTTGAATTTTCTTCGCTCTTATCTTTTGTAGATATATTGCTGAATCTCTGAGGAATCGAGAACTCAGCAAGCGGTCTTCCGAAAAGTCCTGATTGCTTTCCGAAAAATCCGCGAGCGGGGTGCGCGAGATCAGCAATCTATTTTTCCGGCGCCCGCCTGCCCCCGGCAATTGTCTGAGAGCCCGCCACTGAGCCTCATATACAACAAATGCTGACCGAACATTTCAGATGCCCTCAAAACAAATGTTAGTTCAGTTTTTTCTGAGCAAGTGAAGGATTAGACTCGGCTTTCAGCAAGTAGTAGTTTTAGCATGGTGTACAACTTCGTAGTTTTATAAAAGCACAGCACAGATAGCAGAACACACGTTGCAATAGGAAGTTGTGTAAACACATTATTTTTTGCAGTTTTTTTGAAATTCAGAACAGGTTTGCATTCTTTACAAACTGGCAAATATGATATCCGCTGAGTTTACCAACGGAAACATTTTCCAGACTCATCACTGTCAAACCACTCAGGGATTCGCGCCGTGCGGGCGGTCCTCATTAAAGCTCCTCCGCCTGAGCGCACTGCATAGTTTTTGATGTACCGTGCGTGCGGTCAACAATAAAAATGCCGTGCAAGCGGAAGACAGTCTTCCCGTTCGATCGGCACGCAATAAAATTGACCGTGCAAGCGGCAGGCAATGCGTCCGCACGATCGGCCAGCAATACTTGATCGTACAAGCGGCAGGCAATCTCGCCGCGCAATCGGTACGCAATAAAATCGACCGTGCAAGCGGCAGGCAATGTGTCCGTCCGATCGGGCGGCAAACATTTGCCCGTGCAAGCGGCAGGCAATCTCGCCGCTCAATCGGTACGCAATACAATTGCTCGAGCGAGCGGCCAGCAATGCGTCCGTCTTATCGGTCGGCAATACATGTTGCCGTGCAAGCGGCCAACAGTGACCTCTATTTTCTGCTCACTATTTTCACACATTGTGAGCATAAACGGTACCTGTGTGAGATACGACACAGTGTTTAGGCTGGCCAAGCGTTGACACATCGTGTTATCAACATTTTCTTCTACCAGCAAGGCTGGAATGAACCTGTGTGAGGCTACAGTTATCAACAGTGATGGTGAGGGCTTCCCCTTGAAAAGTTTGGCAATGCTGCGAGCATCGATCCGTGTTCCCAAAATGTGCAAAGGATTGATCTATACAAGAAAAATGGTCAAGATATCGCAAATACATCTATTCCAAGAGCAAGCGAGCGGCCGACTTTCTTCGCGCAAACGGCGAACATTAGAGACCGTGCGAGCGCTCCACGTTAACCGTGCCAACGGCCCTTGACGACCGTACAATCGCACACACCAACGAGCGATTGTAAGGTCGTCGGTGGCCGCCCGCACGGCGCGAGTCCCTGAGCAAGTCTCCACTCCTATTTCTGTGTCTTACAAGTCCTGAACTGGACTAGGACTTGGTAGTCCACGGCGTTCTAGTTAGTCAAAAGTAGTCGAGTCTTGTCAAAGCAAAAAAACACCAGTCACAAACGTTTGACCAATATAATTTACAACCAACAGTGAGATTTTTAATAGCTATTCACATTCTCTTTGTAATTATTAGCTTGTTCCATGATCTTCTCATATCGAAAAACTGTTTGCCCCTATTTTTGATCAATAGTTTTGGCTTCTTTCGAGCAATGATGATCCACAAAAACTGCAACTGGTTCGTAAAGTTTGAAGTTATAATTCAAAAATTTCATAAAAATTAGATAAAAATAAATATAAATATAATACAATAAATAAAAATATAAAATGTATATAATAATATAATAAATATAAATATAATATAAATTATAATTCAAAAATTTCATAAAAATTATATAAAAATAAATATAAATATAATACAATAAATAAAAATATAAAATGTATATAATAATATAATAAATATAAATATAATATAAATTATAATTCAAAAATTTCATAAAAATTATATAAAAATAAATATAAATATAATACAATAAATAAAAATATAAAATATATATAATAATATAATAAATATAAATATAATATAAATTATAATTCAAAAATTTCCCCCACCCAAAAAATTGCTCCGATTATTGCGCAAGTCATTACGCATTTCTATGTACCAAGCATCCTTGAAAATTTTCGACGCTTTCTCGGAGGGGGAAGGGGAGAATAGCACAGCATAGCTTCGACAAAAACACGCAAGCAGTGGGAAATTACATAAGTGCACATATGAGTGTCTGACTGGAAAGCATAAGCTTCACCAAGTTTGCGATCTTCAGGTTTTTTCCAAAAAGGGATTTGATTCTTCTCGATTTTCCGGACGTTTCAAATTTTTCAAATTTTGGTTTGGAATTACATGTGCCCACGCTTGGTGCATACACTTGCCGGACCTTGCTTTGCTCTATTGTAATGTGCTGGGTACAGGCCGATTTGCATGACCGAATGATGTTTAGACCATTTACACCGTCACGCAATACCCATACACTCCCCCCCCCCCCCCCTCGCGGCTCCTTTTGCCTAACTAGGGAAGGATCCCAAGTTGCAGCAGCGGGACAAAATGCATATCATTAGATGCTTGTTGAGCTGACCAAATCTAACATTTCGTATCTGCTGAGTGGTTTTCTACGAGAAGTTATAAGCGTTTGTCCAAATGTAGCGAGCATTCGGTGCCACAGCCTCAAGAATGTTCAAAAAACGCTTATTTTACGCTTAGGGTTATGGGCACGGCAAAATTCAAGGCTAATTTGAATTTTTGAAAATTTCAAAAATTACTACATTTATTTATTGTAAAGTCACTTGCATTTTTACTCATGTAAGTAACTTACAAATTCCTCAGGTGGAAGGGGGGAGGGGAAGAGTTGTCCTTTGCGTACCTAAAGCGCCCCTCTTCCCTTCGATCCGTCTCTGGAAGAAATAGTTCATTGCGGCAAATAATCAGGTACAAAAAGAACAAACTACTATTTCCGTGCTGTATGAATGGAACAGAAGTTTGACTTCATTCACGTGTTCTTCTTCACAAAGACTTGCTTGCCATGGTTTAAGATTTTACATCTTTTTTTATGCTCTGATAGTCATCGATGAGACGCATGCAAGACTTTTATTAAAAACGGAATTCTCCTATGAGTTCAGAGCACATTCTGTCGAATCGTAATTACAAAATACTGAATCGACCTTTGAGTCTTGAAGGAAAAATTTGCAATTTTATAATCTTTTCCAGTATGGTCTAGCTTTTTCCAATCAATTTTAGGGGGATGGTAAACATTTTTCTATGGATGCTAAAAGCAAACCTCGTTGCCATTCTCAGTGGTATACCAACAAAAATTTGGTCTGCAACAAATGCTAAACGATCCAAATAAATCACGTTTAATTTTGGCTCTGCTTCTGGCTTGAACACCTTTCCTTATCAATCAAGAAAGATATTTGTGCTGAACCTGATAGGCTTCATTTTCGCGTACAATGAGCTGTCATCAATTTTCTAGCTACCCAAATTTGAAAATATTCCTACCAACTTTACACTTGTTCATCCCACTAAGTCTTTGTACCAAGTCCAATTCAAGTTGTTGCGCGTGTGGACCTATAGCGGTGGGTTTTCCTCCTTTTCCTTCCCTTAGGCTTCGAACCGAGTTCAAGCGATTTGATCGTCGCGATTTAATCGCCGCGATTTCCATTCATTTTCATTTTACATTCAAATTTCGAGCTGGAAAAGTATCACAACCGAAATGCAAGCTGATCGGCATGCAATGAGCTCGTAACAGTTGTCTTATAGCGATTGAATTGCGACGATCAAATCGCGTGAACTCTGTCCGAGGCGTTATCAGAAAGAAAGAACATTTTCATAGCGCAAAATCGGCAAATTGTTTAAATTTCTAGCTAAAAAGAGGATGGACAGAATAGTTCCCAATATTAGGTGCTCGGTCAGTCCTCTGAGATTTGGAGGCTAAGCAAGGATATGCCTGCTTCTGCCGTGAAGAGCCCGCTTGTGTTTGCACTTCGAGTGCGCATAACATAGGAGTGTCAGGCGCGACTGCTTGAAACAAACGTTTGACCTTAGAACAATGACGGTGAGTTTTATCCGGTTTCCTCAACGAGCACACCGGTTTCCGCATGCTGGACAAGCCGTGGGCGATTTATAAAGCCTAGATCTAGCCAGCGGCTTCCTCCGGTGAGCCCTGGGATGAGGCCTGTGCTGCTCTTTCTGATTTTCGTACAAACAGGTAATTTTTGTACTGACTTTCGTAAATCACTCAAA